AGTCCCAGCTCTTCCACCATCCCAAGATCCCAGAGAGAACAGAACTGAATGTGTGTGTGTGCAGGGGGGTGTCTTTGTGGGCACAGCATGAATGGGAAAGCTAGCTAGGGATGGGGGGGGGCTGCTGGAGCTGAGAAACAAGAGTGAGTTATGGGGAGTATACTGGGGAGTGAGGGTTGGGATGGGAGCTAAGGAATGAGAGGAGCCTAGGGCTTCCCCTTGGGGGCAAGGCTCAAAGGAGAAGCTTTGGTTTGGACCTAGAGAGCTGGAAGCCCAAGGGAATGTGAGCTTTCAGAGCTGACCTACGATGACCCTGACCCTGACCCCCAGCTCCAAGCTGTTTGGGGGAGGAAAGTTGGCCTGGCCCAAAACTATCTCCTCTACTCTACCCTTCTGCATACTCAAACCAGGTCTTTGTTTCGAAAGGGAGACGGAATTATTCAGAGGGGGCTTTGGAGGCCTGGAGAAAGGCCGGCAGATGTCTCTAGGATGGGGAACGACCTCTTTGGGCAGGAAGCCTTAGGAGTAGTTGTGCACTTTGCCTTGGGGCCAGCAGGAGAACTGAGTCAGAGCTCCATTAGGAAATGCTTGGCATTGACCTCTACATGGCTCCTCTTCGGAGTGGCTCACTGCTCCGCAAGCGTCCCCAGCTTTCCTGGCTCCCAGAGCCCCTCTGCCCTCCTCCCCTCCCCCCTCCTGGAGGGAGACAAGGGGTGCTGTCAGCATCTTGGGGAGTCTCTTAAAATGTAAGGAACAAACAGGTGAGCCAAAGGGGATCCTGTCTAATCTGAGACTTCCTCCCCAGTCATAGGGCTCAGTCTGGCCATTATGGAGAAGGGAACAAGTGGGTCAGCATCCTTCCCAGCCTCGGTGACATGTAGCAGGAATGACTGAGGCCAGACTTCAAGCCCACAACCTGGGTGGAATTCCACCTTGAACCTTTCTTAGTGGTGGGACCCGGGGGCTTCCTGATACATCCAATGGGGCTAACGGTCTTTGTGCCCTTCCCACTCCCCAGCTTCTGGAGATTAGGATGCCCACCCCCCCCCGCCCCAGGCCCACGAAGGGCTCCAAATTAGGCAGGAAACCTGGGCTCTAGTCCTGCCAATGCCAACGATTTTCTGAGTGACTTTCTGCAAGTCCTTTCCCTGCTCTGGGCCTCACTTTCTCCCTCTGAAAATGAAGCACCCAGGTCCCTAAGAATCTCTAGGTCTGTCTCCATACCAACAAGTTACACTCTACCCAGAGTAAGGGTCCCAACCTCCAACTCTAGAGAGATAGACCCTCTGACAAGGTTAAGAGCAGCCCCACACGCCTGCAGGTGGTCTGTTTGTTACTAGGCAACTAGCAAGGCCTGAGCCAGAGCTGAAGGAGGGGGGAGTTCGGTGGGTTGTTACCACCCCCTCTCTCCCCAGACACATTGGAACCCTAGGTCTCCAGTAGGGGAGGTGAGTGGGTGTTGACGCTGCCCCCATCTGCTGGCTCATGCCTGAAGTTCCATGCTCAGCTCCAGCCCTTTAGATACGGAGCTCCTAACTTAGATTTTCCTCAAACTTTAAAATTCTGACACTCTGGGGGTAGGGGCTGCTGGCGAAAAGGTCAATGGGAATGAAGTCCTGATTGGAACCCAGCGGACGAGCTTTGGATCTGAGGGCAGCTCTGTGCCCACCCCCATCCCTGCCTGCTGGGCATCCCTGCAAATGGGCTGCAGGTGACCTGGAGACCCACCTACTGATACCCATCTGTTACCTGGAGTACCTGCTGTAGCGTCATGGAATTGGGGGCTATTTCTGGCTTATCTGTGATAGGAAGAGGAGAGGGGGGCAGCTCTGGGAGAGGAAAGGCAAGTCGGGGAGAGAAGAGCAGCTGCCTGGGGCAGGGGGCTGGGGGGAGGGGGGAAGGGCCCCAGGCTCACCACCTGAGGTTCATCCCAGGCTCCTCCCACTTCCTCACTGTCCCTGTTGAGCCTTGCCAAGCCCCGACCATTCTCCCTCCTCCCACATGGCTCCACCCACTCCCCTCAGCACCTTGTGTCTGGACCAGGGGTGGGGAACCTGCGGCCTGGAGGCCACACGTGGCCCTCTAGGTCCTCTAGGGCCACACCCATGGACCTAGAAGGCCACATGTGGCCTCGAGGCCACAGGTTCCCCACCTCTGGCCCGGACTATGGCAGTAGCCTCCTGGTTGGACTCACTGCTTTCAGCCCCTTTGCTCTCCACAGCTGCCAAAATCATCTTCCTAAAGCCCACTTCTGCCCATGCCCATGGGAAGCTTCAGGGGCTCCCCATGTTGACATTTAAAGCCTTTTATAATATGGGCCTAATGATAGAGCCTTATTACACCCCTACCCTTAACTCTGGGGTTCAGCCAAACTGACCTTCTTGCTGTTCCTCATACAGCACACTATCTCCTGCCTCTGGATCTTTGCCCAGGCTGTTACCCTTACCTGGAATGCCCTTCCTCCTCTCTGCCTCTGGGAATCTCTGACCTCTTGCAAAATTGAGCTCAGGTGCCCCCTCCAGTGGAAAGCATCTCCTAAATCCCTTAGTGCTCTATCTCTCACTAACTTATTTTGTATTTTCATGTTGCATCTCACAGTAGAATGTGGCTGCCTGGGAGGGCCTTTTTTTTCCCAACCTTATCTCCACTGCACAGCACATAATACATGTCTGTGGAATTGAATTGAGAAGGTGCTGAAAACAGCACTGGAGCTTTCCAGCAAGAGTCCAGTCATTTTTCCTCCATGTCAGCCGAGGAGGTCGAGCTAGATTCTTTCTAAGGCCTCTTCCAGCTCTGATTCTGCCACTTCAGCATTTTCCTTCTTGGTCTCTAGTTCCAGGGTCACTATCTGGCTGTCCACAGCATCTCCCCATCAGGGTCCTCTGGAGGAGGATGCACTCAGCTTTTTGTCTTAGAAGGCTCTGGGCCTAGGACAGCCCTCAAACAGAGCCATTCCCAGCCATGACCCTGGGGCCCTCACTCTGGATGGGGCCCCAATTCCAGACATTCTAGGCTTGTGGGTGTTGGGTGAGAAGCTGCTCCCAAGGGATCCAGAAAGGGCTTCCCCTTTCCAGGCTTTAGGGTGGAGTATCTGTTCTGGCCACTGTCTGGGTCCACCATATCCGCAAAGGGTGCGATATGGAGACAGATCTGAGTTTCACATGGCCCTGAAACTGAACTGGGTTGGAGCTCGGCAACTGCTCTATTAATAGCCCCCCAGCCCAGCCCGCTAGCCCCAGCCCCGGATGCCAGGAGTTGTGAGTCAGCAGCTAAAAATAATGGAGCAGGAAAACTCGAACCCCAGCGAGCCAGCCCTCCCTGGGGCTCAGGGCTAGGGACTGCAGGTCTGTAAGCCTAAGAGCTAGAAGGAGCTGAGGTGGGAGGGCGGGGGAGGAACAGTTCATTTTGGGGATAGGGACTCAGATTTATGACTGGAGGGCTGGGAGCTGAGATGAAACTGAGACAGATGTATGGAAAAGACTTGGTTAAAAAACCAATCCAAACGAGGCCTCCCCCAGCCTGGGACTTGCCCAGTCCCTCCCATCAAACACAGATTCATCCTCCCATCTTCCACACCCAGAGCCTAAGCCCATTCTCTCCGGCTACAGGACAGGCTGCTTCTCTGTAGGGAGTAAAAACGTTCACTTGCTTCCCTCCATATCGAATTTATTTATGTGAGGGAGAGAGGGAGGGAGAGAGGGAGGGAGGGAGGGAGGGGGGAGAGAGGAAAAGAGGAAGGATTGTAGAAGAGCTGAGAGCCTCTTGAGCAAATTCAAACTCGCCCCCGCCAATCGAGAGGCAGCTTGTGCTGTAATCCCCACATCCTGTTGCCGTGGACACACACAGATGCCCTCCATTGAAGATACAGCCCCGTGGGTACCAGTGCTTCAGATGCAACCAGTTTGCATCTCAACCTGGGCAGAAGAGGACCCAGGAGCAGAACCTAAGTGCCCTGGCTCCCTTTCATCCAGCTTCCCCACTCCCATGCCGTGTGTGTGTGTGTGTGTGTGTGTGTGTGTGTGTGTGTGTGTGTCCATCCCAGCTAAGCCTGACATAGGAGGTATTGACTTAGTAAAGGCAAATGAAGCCAGCCAAGTCAGAGGAGGTCTGAGAGGGTTCCCCCTCCCTCAACTCTGTGGCTCCCTGTCCGCAGCTCAGTGAAACCTATTCTGCTCCTCTTTGGCTGAGTAGTCTTTGAAGGACCCGAGTTCCAGGAGAGGCTGGGTAAAATTTAGAGATGGAGGATTTGGAGGTAGAGGACCTGCGCAGGAATACCTTAAACAAGGTATTCTTTGCCCTCTTCAGAGCCTCAGTTTTTCCATCTACAAAGAAGAATTTGGACTAGGTGGTCTCTATAACAGATGGGGAAACCGAGGCCCCAAGGCAGGGGTGGAGAACCTGCAGCCTTTTGACCGAGTCCAAGTTTTACAGAACAAATCCTTTTATGAGGGGGCTTTGTTCTGTGAACTTTGGATTCAGTCAAAGGGCTGCCCTTGAGGACCTAGAGGGCCACGTGTGCCCTCGAGGCTGCAGGTTCCGCACCCCTGCCCCAAGGGGTTATATGACTTGGCCAAGGTCTCACAGAGTATCAGAGTTGAGATTTGAACCCAAGTCCTCTATCACTTCCTCTCTGAGCCTCAGTTCCATCCCTTAGAACAGGAGGAGGTTGAGCTCGGGTGTCTAGTGTCCTTCTTAGCTCTGCCCCCGATACTGTCTGAGCCCTTGCTGGCGGTTCGTGAGAGGCCGGGAGTGGTATCATCGGGGTGGGGGGTGGCCGCCAGGGCTCCTCAAGGTGAGCGGCCCGGCAATGCCCTGTCCTCTTGATGAGAGAGGCAAGAGGCAAGAGGCAGACCCGGCAGGTCCTCAGGAAGGGCGGAGCAGCGGGCACTAGGTGGTGCTGTTAGACAGCTAGCTGAGGGAGGCGACGCGACAATGATGGCCCCGGCCCAGGTCCCCGATCCCTGGCCCCACCCCTGTAGCCCTGAAGACAAACGACACCATGTGGGGGATCCAATTCATTGAATGACAGAAAGAAGACCCAGAGACCACGCGGTCCTCGCCGTTCTGTGGCCCACAGCCCCAAGCAGCTTAGTGTCGGCAGAGAGAGCGCGATGCAGGCCAGTTCTCCAGGAGGGGAGCCGGGAGGAGGTCCCCTCCAGGGGTTCCCCTGGCCTCCATACGCCGCCTCACGTGGGAGGGCAGGCAGATGCGCCTCACCCACCACTTGGCATCACTTGCTGCCCAGGGATTCCCATGCCCCACCACTCTCCACCCCACCCACCAGAAGCAACAGTCTGGCAACAGCATCTCGGGGTCGGTGGCTGGGGGCTAGCAGAGGCAGGCAAGCCTCAGGCTACAGAGGGTTTGGGGGTGAACTGGCGCCTCACTCATTCCAGCAGGATGGCGTTGATCTTGGTCAGCAGCACAGAGGTCTCTGAAACTGGAGGAACACAGTGGGCACGAGAATGGGCGTTGGAGTGGTCGGGGAGGCACGGGGCAACAGGGAGGCCAAAGAGCAAAGGCCCGACAAATGAGTAATGCCATAGCTCTTACCGGGTTTCTCTCTCTCTCTGGCCCATTTCCTTTAGGGAGGGAAGGATTGCACTGTCAGTTCAGGTAGCTTGAGCTCCCCACTCCCTCAAGCACTCCCAGTTTGGGGGCTATCCAATAACGTGGCCGAGGGCCTGTGGGACTCCAAGCCCTGGTGGCACCTAGTGCCACGACACCACCAGGGGCCGGGAGATGCAGAGAGGGCGCTCACCCTTGTAGGAAGAAGACCCAGAGAAGTAGCAGGGCAGACACACAGTCTGAGACGATCCAGATCATTAGGTAGGTTTGAGGGGGCTGTGGAGACATTTACGAGTGAGCGCTCCCTGACAGATGCTCTGTGTGAGGAGGCATGCAGTGAGGGCTGAGGGAGAGCGTGGATGGCAGTGGAGGGGGCAGGGAGGAGGGAAGCCAACAGTTCTTACGATGAGCCAGACAGGATGGGGCAGCTGCCGCAGCAGCTGGCAGGCGTTGGTGGTGACCGAGGCAGCCCCGGCGCACCAGAGCAGGGAGAAGAGCCAAGGCTTGTTCACCACGAATAGGTTCACAGAGATGTTGTCGCGCTGCAGGAGCCTGTGGGTGTCGGAGAGAGAGAAAGGGCCCCCATAGGCGCGGGTCATGGGCCGCGGATTCCACGGTGCCTTCAGGCGCATCCTTTCTCTTTGCACAAGTGACTCCCAGCCTCTGTGATGCTTGGTGCCTGCTGGCCAGCCGCCCCTCGGACCCAGCATCTTCACAGCAGAACTCAGTAGCTGTCCCTCCTCCTGAATTCCCTCTGTGGCTCCCCAGCACTACCATTCATTCCCTCAAGCCCTTGGGCTTGACAGCTCAGTCACCCTTCACTCCCGACATTCAGTCGCAAACTCCCACCAGTTTTTCCCTTATAATATCTCCTCTGTCTTTCCCCTTGCTGCTGCCACCTCAGTCTGGGACTTCATTAGCTCTCACTAAAGCATCGCAGTGTCCTATTTATTACTCAGACTCTCTGCCTCTTTAAGCCAAGGTGCCACATTCATCTTCTCACAGCTCAGCTCTGATCGTACCCCATCATCTGCTCTCTGGCAACAATCTGATCACACACCTACTTCACAGACCCCTTACAAAAACCCTATTGTGTGTAAGGCACTCTAAAGTCCAGAGAGGGGGTGGGATGGGGATGGGGGGACCGTCAGTCCAGGGTGATCTGAAGGATAGAGCGCTGACAACTAGGGAGAGTCAGAATGGGCTTCCTGGAAGAAGTGGCACAGAGGATGAGCCCTGAGGGAAGCCAAGGATTCTGAGAGGTAGAGCTGAGGGGTGAGGGCATTCCAGGCATGGGGCACAATCTGTGCAAAAGTGTGGGGGCAGGTGAATGACAACGGGTGTGAAAGCTAGAGTTTACGGAGAGGAACAACATGAATTGTGACGGCACAGGATGGGGGTAGCCAGATTGGGGAGGGCTTTCAAGGCCGGGCTGAAGAATTAGCCATGTATCCTGCCATCTACCAATGTACCCTATAGGCAATGGGGAGTCACCTTAACAAGACTGGCCAGCTTGGAAGGATGGATTGGAGAGAGAAGAGGCCGGAAGCCAGAGCACCTCGCACTAGTCCACAGGGTGGATGAGGACCGTGCCCGGGGTGGGGGGTGTTAAGAGAAGCCGACAAACAAGGGATGTTGTGGAGGAAGAACTGATGGGATTTGGCAAATAACTGGAGAGGGGGATGACAGAAAGGAAAGAATTCCAGGTTTTGAGCCTGAGTGACTGGAAATGGGGAAAAAGATCTTGAGTCCAGGTTGAAGACATGAAGATGGAGATGGTCAGCCGGAAGTTGTGGATTCAGGACCGCAGTCCAGGAGCGACATTGGCACTGGGTCTAGAAATCCAGGAGTCATCCGTGCAGGGACAATACATAATGAAACCCATGGCAAATGATGAGATTGCCAAAGGAGGGTGGAGAGGGTCTAAGCTCAGGCACAGCCACTGAGAAGAAGCAGTCCCACAGACAGGAGAACTGGAAGGGAGCCTAGGGAGGAGAGGATAGCTGGGAGGAGGAGGTGCCGGATAGCGACAGAGACTTCCCAGAGGGCTTCGAGGAGAGGACAGACAGGTCACTGGATTTCGTTTCAGGGTGGAGGGAGTCAGAAGCCAGACTGCAAATGTCTGGAGGTGTGTTGTAAGGAAGTGGAGGCAAAGAGTCCAGATAAGTCTATCCCAGAGTTCAACTGTGCAAGGGAAGAGAGATCTAGAAGGGGAGCTTGAGGGGACATCACAGCAAGTGGATTTGGTTTTTGGATGGGTGAGAGCTGAGTGTGCTGTTAGACAGTGAGCAAGGAAGCCGTGGAAGACTAGAGAATACTGTCAGACATAAGTCAAACGTTGGCCTTGATGTCATCTGTTTGCCTCAATTTCCTCATCTGTAAAATGAGCTGGAGAAGGAAATGGCAAACCACTCCAGTATCTGAGTGGGACCGCTATTTCCCAGCTGGCATAAGCCCAGTTCCAGAGACAGGGACATCCATAAACTGGGTGCTCCTAAGTTAGGGACAGCCTTACTTCTGTTATCGTTTATCTTGTCATCATTGCACGCGTGTCTCTCCAGCTCTTCCTATGAGATAGCGCAGTACAGTGGAAAGAGCAGGAGACCTTGGTTCAAATCCTGCCTTGCCACTCACTGCCTCTGTGACCTTAGGTAAGTCACTTCCCTGCCTGGGTCTGTTTCTTTCTCTGTAAAATGAGGCTGTTGCGCTAGATCAGGGGTGGGGAACCATGTGGCCCTCCAGGCCCTCAAGTGCAGCCCTTTGATGGAATCTAAGCTTGCCTTCGTGAAAGGATTTGTGCTGTAAAACTTGGACTTGGTCAAAAGGCCGCACCCGAGGACCTGGAAGGCCATGTGTGACCTCGAGGCTGCAGGTGCCCCAGCTCTGGACTAGATGAAGGCGTGGGCTGGGGCCATCTTTCTCTTTGACAGTGTCTGACAAAGGTCTGTCACTCTAGAAATTATCTGTTAATGAATAGGGATGGCAGAGACACGGCCAGTCAGCCTCAATTGCTGTGCTCTCCCCCTCTTCCCCAACCCTTGACCCTTGGCCCCGGAAGGGAAGTCTTGCAGGCACCCATCCCTAGCCTTCCCCGAACAGCATCTTCACCCATCTGATGAAGGCTCCTTCTTTCTTCGTGCTCACTTGATGTCTGTCAGTGGGAGGTCCTGGTAAGGCAGGTTGAGGAGCTGGGGCCTCTCAGTCCTGTTCTCCTTTCGATATCCATACACCTGAGGGAGCTCGGGTGCCCGGAGTTGGACCTCAGCCCGGCCTTCATCTGGCAGCCAGAGCACCTGGAGTTTGGTGAAGGTTTCAGGGGATGGGGCTATCATTATGGCATCCCAGGGCAGGGGACAGAGAATGTGGGAGTGTTGCCATGGCCAAGGGCATCAGAACAGAATGGGACCCCCCGGGGCACGAGGCAGGGGTCCCCCATGTAATCCCATGGCTGGGGCATGTGGCTGGAGGGCACGGGGTCAGGGGGATGAGAGCCCAGATAGATCACCATGGCCTGGGGCACCCCGGCACTCAGCACAGCATCCAGGGTGCAGTTGACGTAGGTGTGATGATATGTGTGGTTTGGGGGGGGTCGGCGCAGGTCAAACATGACGGATAGATTGAGGTCAGCAGCCGCCTCCAGAAGCTCCCTTAGCGATGGCACTGTCTGGTTCTTGGCTTCCTGCTGTTCGGGGCCTGAGAGCTTCCTGGCTCCCTGGAATGGTGGTCTCTGCAGTGGAGGGGGGCACATAGTTCAGTCACTGAATTGTAGAAAGCCAATCCTCATTTTACGCATTGGAAAACTGAGGCCCCAGGAGGAAAACGACTTGCTCTAACTTCTTAGTACATCTGAGATTGAGTCCCCTGCACTAAGCTGCCTGAGCAGAGGCGAAGCCCTGTCAGGGCCTCCCCCAGAGCTCACCCACTTACCTCCAGGAACCAGGTCCCTGCATTTAACTGCTGCAGTTCGGCCCAAGAGAAGTCACTGCTGTGTCCTGCAGCTCGGGTGGGGAACACAGAAGCCACATTGGTTGTCCTATCCAGGCGTTCGTCATGCATTAGGAAGGGGACTCCGTCGGAGCTGGGAGCATAGGATGTGTTGGAGGACAGCCAGTCCCCCCCCCCCCCCCCCCCCCCCCCCGGGCCCCCCCCCGCCCCCCCCCCCCCCCCCCCGACCCACCTGAGCATCACGTCTGTCTCGAACACAGAAGCCCCACACTCAGCAGTCTTCCGGAGGGACATCAGCGTGTTCTCAGGGGCCAGCTGGGAAGAGAAGTTGGTGTGTTTGTGTTTGCATGGATGTGCATATATATATGTGGGGAGGGAGGAGGGGGAGGTCTGTGCCCCACCCTTCACGGCAAGGGGGAGGGGGAGGCGTGCGTGGGGGGTAGCAGCCTTCCCTCCCTACTCTCCCTTTCGCCATGGTGCAGGCTCACCATGGGAGCCCCTCGGTGCCCTACTAGCCCGGGCTTGGGGGGGAGATGACTGTACTCCATTAGGCATGGTGATGAGATGCCCAGGGGTGCCAGGTAGATAGCCAGGGCTGCACCAATGAACAGGAGTAGTAACAGCATGTTGGGCCCTGTGGGGAGAGGACGGGGCGAGATGAAATATGGTGGGGCAGCCAGGGGTGAGGGCTCATAGGAAGATGGGAAGGCGGGGGCTGCTACCTCTTCTCTGAGACCTGTAGAAGGCATCAGCCACTGGCCAGGCCAGGAGGGTGAGTGCAACCACTGCTCCGATATGCAGAAATGGGGCTGTGGCCTGGAGATAGGAGGGGTTGAGTGAGTCGTGGCACCCTCCTTGGGACCCCCAATCTCCCAGGCTCCTTTCTCTCCCTTTGGGATCCCTTGCCTCCTATGGTTTTGGGAAGCCCAGGGCAGTCCCTTTTGGGGACTTCCCAAGTGTGGGGGGACGCCCAGGGAGGTTGTCGGACTAATGCTCACTTGCAATGACAAGCGCAGGCTTCTCCACTCCTCCTGCCACTGGATTTCCAGCCCCACAAGGGCAGCGGCCACGAGCAGCACGGTCAGTGATAACAGTCCCTGAGGATACAACTGACTGGCCTTCCATCCGTGGGAGGGGTGGGGTTGGCCTTAGCGGGGAAACACGCCCCTCCCTTTACCATCTCAGCCTCTGGCACCCCCGGCCTGTGCCCATCTACTTACCTTGTGAAGCCAGTGGAGGTGCAGAGGCTGTGCCCAGAGATGGAGGAACAGGGCCAGGAGCTGGGGGAGGAGGGGGAAGGAGCAGTGAGCAGATAGGAGAGCCCCCAGGGCGGCCTTGGCCTTCAAGGCCCTTCTTTTTGGGCCTCAAGTTTCCTCCTCTGTAGAACGAGAGGGGTTGGGCTGGGTGCTCTCTCACTGTGAGTGCAGTGACCTATGAAAGAAGAATGGGGGAGACCCAGGGGCACGGAGCAGACTGGCTGGGCCCAGACCTACCAGCAGCAGGGTGGAATATGTAACCAGCACAGAGACGACAGGCAGCAGAACCAGGGACCAATCCAGCCAGTGTCCCCAGTGTCGAAACAGGAACCTCGGGAGGGAAGAGACAAGGAGCTTTCCAAATAGGGACAGGGCCTGGCCTTGGGTCCCATGGAAGGGAAGGGGGAGGGAGGAAGTAGATCTTTCAAGGGGAACGTGAAGGGCTTGGGACCAGAGGCATTGGGTGAGTGGCTGTTGAGGTTGGCTTCTTAAAGAGCTGGGCTGGGCTGAGGGGGAAGAGGTGGAGGATGGCAGAAGAAATTGGAACTCTGAGTTCATTTGGGAGTGTGTGTGTGTGTATATGGCATGTGTGTGTGTGTGTGTGTGCATATATGG